GTGTCTGTGTTAATTGGTTTCCCTTTTCTTTGTTGAAGAGCATCTGTGCAGTCCTTCTGCCTAGTCCACCATCTTGCTGGAACTGCTACAGGCAAATATTGTGCCTTCTTTTACTAGGTGATAAAAGTAGAAACCAACCAAACCAAACTCACTGCCATCCAGTCGATTCTGACTCATAGCAACCCGCTTTGGGTTTCCGAGGCAGTAAATCTTTACAGAACTAGACTGCCCAGTGTTCCTTCTGCAGAGTGGCTGGTGGGTTTGAACTGCCAGCCTTCTGTCTAGCAGTCAAATGTCTTAGGCATTGGAGGGGAAGGAATTGAGAGCTACTTTGTAGCCTGACTTCATTCATCTTCTAGCTACAATCTTGCCTCTCCCAAAACACAGTCTGTCCAGAAACAGTGTCTAGGGTCTCCACTTTTTTCTCCCAATGTTTAGGAAACAGAGCTGGAAAAAGCCTACAGCTCACAGACTAGCTCTGTACCTGGAAAGGGCACTCAGTGGAAGTCTGCCCTGATGGAAAGTGACTGAACTATACTGTTTCTTTCCATTGAGCATGTACATATCTTCTTCACTAGTGTTGGTGCTGCTCAGATCTTATCATTTTCAACCAAATAAGGTGCACCTGACACAAGCCATGATATTTCCAATCACCTCGTATGCATGTGAGAGCTGGACAATGAATAAGGAAGACCGAAGAAGAGTTGATGCTTTTGAGTTGTGGTGCTGGCGAAGAATGCTGAAAGTACCATGGACTGCTAAAAGAACTAACAGATCTGTCCTGGAGGAAGTGCAGCCAGAATGCTCCTTGGAAGCAAGAATGGCCAGATTTCGTCTCACCTATTTTGGTCATGTTGTAAGAAGGGACCATTCCCTGGAGAAGGATGTCATGCTTGGTAGGGTGGAGGGTCAACGAAAGAGGGAGAGGCCTTCAACGAGATGGATTGACATGGTGGCTGCAATGATGGGCTCAAGTATAGCAGGGATTGCGGGGCTGGTGCGGGATCGGGCAGTGTTTCGTTCTGCTGTGCGTGGGGTCGCTATGAGTTGGAAACGACTCGATGGCACTTAACAACAACAACAACACTGGTCAAATTTCCAGGGGGCCTGGGGAGCTGTCTTTCTATTGCTTTTTCATCTTCCACTCAAAAGAACAGCAGCAAAGGCAAGATGTTGTCATTAATTATTCCGTGAATACCTTATTTTGTACTGGAATAGCTGAGCCTGTGGCAGCACAGTAGGTTGGCTGAGTCCCAGGCCACTTCTATTGCACATCTCTACTTTGCTCAGGACTTTGGGTTATTTTTTTATTGTCTCCTATTGAAGAAGCCTTGGTCTCCTATTTGTATTGGAGCTATTCCTCCATCTTGCATTTCTACTCTCATTTTCTGCAGGGTTCCTAGCAGAGCAGTTTGTTCCAGATGGGCCCCACTTCCACCTCTACTCTGAAGACCAATGGATAAAGATGATGAACTGGCAACACAGCACCATGTATCTGTTCTTTGCAGCCTCAGGAATCACTGATATGCTCACCTATCTCATCACCCATATTCCGTTGGGGCTGGACAGATTGGTTATGGCTGTGGCAACATTCACTGAAGGTAATTTAGAGGAATGGAAGGAAGAAGGGAGCAAAGACTATCAAGTTGTGTGAGGGATCAGAACACAAAAGACCAGAAACAACAAATATGAAAACCTTCTCTAGAAATTCCAAATCCCTGGAAAGCCTAAATAGGACTTGGCCCTAGGCTCTGGATAGTACAGATAATATATTTTATAAAAAAGCCCATTAAAACATGAGGCTTCCAGGCAATTCCCAAAGCCTCCAGCTAAGACTGTACAAACCCTCCCTGCCTTCCCACAGCTGCCTGCACTCACCCCTACTCATACTCACATGTATAGGATGAGCGCGCACATACCCATAAATGCATAAAATGCTGAGATCAGCTGAAATCCACCAGGAAGACAGGGCAATCTCTTTGGTTATATAAGAAAGACTGCATTCCATTGTCCACCTTGGAGTGTTACAGTCTTAACCCCATCACAAATATCTGGAGACCCACACAACTGCTAGGATGGATCTCCAAGGTCACATTAACTGAAAAAGCCTTTTGTAGTCCAACTACCTCACTCTCTGTACCTCAGAAAGTGTTGATAAAAAGTTGAACGGGGGAAAAAGTGAATTTCAAGTATGTATATGTATGGATATACACATTCATCAAGATAATTTTTGTCGTAAATCACCATGTTTCACTTACCCATCCTGTTTTGAACTCTATCGCAGATTTTTTTTAAAGAAGCTACATCTCTACTACTTACACCCATTTAACATATATACATGAAATCAACTTAATCTGCAACTGTTTGTTCCCCAACATTTTGTAAATTGACTTCCCAAGTGCTGAAAAATGTAGCCTTGAGACAGGTGTGGGAGAAGATTCTAAAGGACAAAGAGTGAGTCCTTTGAAGTACAAAAATGTAAATTGTTCATGGCTATAATTTGGTTTGTGGCAGGTTTTCTTTTCTACTACCATGTTCATAACCGACCACTACTGGACCAACATATCCACTCACTCCTGCTGTTTGCTGTGTTTGCTGGGGCCCTCAGTCTCTTCCTAGAGGTGATCATTCGGGACAATATCCTGCTGGAACTTTTCCGAACCAGTCTCACTATTCTTCAGGGCACCTGGTTCTGGCAGGTAATTATTCAAGCAAGGGCTCTGTACACTGCATAGGTCAACCAAACCAAACTAAACCAAACCCTCAGCCATGGAGTCAGAACCAATTCATAGCAACCCCTCCTTGGTTTTCCAAGGCAGTATCACTATAGAAGTAGATTGCCCAACCTTCCTTCTAAGGAGTGGCTGGTGGGTTTGAACCACCAGCCTTCTGGTTAACAGTCAAATGCCTTAGGCACTACACCACAAGACTTCCTGCACAGGTCAAGGGAGTCCTAATAAGCATGTGCAAAAGAAGTCCTGAAGGGGACATGTTGCTTGAAAATGCAGCACTCATGTAGTATGCAAGTTTAAATAGTCCCTTTTCTCCCTATGTCCACTCCTTAACCTTTGTCATTTTATCCACTAATATTCTGCTGATGTCTCAACAAGAATTTATGGAGCATACATAGTTGGCTGATAAAATGCCTTCCCAAGCTGTGCTCCTCAGTGGAGGTAATGATAACCTTTGCAGTTTCCACTTCTAAACCTTTTCCCTGAAATGTGGGCCCTGAAGATTTTCTTAATAAGCCTATCCTAAAATGAGAATCAAGTTAAGAGCAATTTTCCTACTTGAAAAGACATTCTCAACTAAGAATCTGTCAGAGATTGAAGGAAATTGTTGGGTGCAGTTAGGTCAATCCTGACTCATGGTGACCTCATGTGACAGAGTAGAACTTCCCCATAGGCTTTTCTTGGCTGTAACCTTTAGGGAAACAGATCACCAGGTCTTCCTCTTGCAGAGCCACTGGGTAGGTTTGAACTGCCAACCTTTTGGTTAGCAGCTGAGCACTTAACTATTGCACCATCAGACCTTCTTAGAGTAATACAGGGAGCACCGAGACTTCAGCCAGGGACCTCCTGCTCTGCAGTCAAAGCGCTCTACCATTGAGCTATACCACCATTGGAGAGTAAGGAGACATTAGGACTAAATGCAACATGGAATCTTCAACAGAAAAAGGGCATTAGTGGAAAAACTGATGAAATCTGAATAGTCTGTGGTTTAGTTAATAATGTTGCACCATATTTATTTAATCAATATTCCATGGTTATGTAAGATGTTAACATTAGGGGAAACTTGGTGAAAAGTACAGGATCTCTCCCCATCTTTACAACTCTTCTGTAAACTTAAAAACTGTTGTTGTTGTTGTTATGTGCCGTCGAGTCAGCCCTGACTCATAGCGACCCCTCCTTGGGTTTCCGAGGCAGTATCACTACAAAAGTAGGATCGCCCAACCTTCCTTCCCAGGAGTGGCTGGTGGGTTTGAACCGCCAGCCTTCTGGTTAGCAGTCAAGTGCCTTAGGCACTATGCTACCAGAGCTCCTAAAAAAATAAAAGGTTTGAAAGGGAAGGAGGGGAAAAGAAAGCCTTATCATGCTAAGGAAATTGTGGGAGGTGATAGTGGAGAATGTATGAGCAACTTTGGTGGCCACATGAAGGCTAGGTTGTTTCATGGTGCCAGCTAAGGACCAGACCAACTTCTCCCTGTATTCCACCAGATTGGGTTTGTGCTGTTTCCACCTTTTGGAACACCTGAATGGGACCAGAAAGATCATGAAAACATCATGTTCATCACCATGTGCTTCTGTTGGCACTACTTGGTTGCTCTCTGCATTGTGGTCATCAACTACTCTTTCGTTTACTGGTATGTCTGAGGGAAAATGTTTTTGTGAAGCCTTTTCCTCCTAACCAAAGCCCCTCATAAAATTTATCACACTGTATAATTACTATTCCAAGTGGCCCATCTATTATAACTAAGCATGTTAACTTTTAAGCCATTAATGAGTGCCGATAATTTGCAAGTTCTGTGCAAGGTACTCCATACCTGTAGGGTATTACTACCCTTATTTATGAATGAGGGTAATGAGGCTTTAAGAAATTAAATGACTTGTTCAGATCCCAGTAACCTAGTAGACTCAGGTTTCAAAGGTATTTTAAGCCTACAGTGTGATAGGAACAACTCTAAATTAGGGATTTGGATTGGGCTTAGTCCTTGCTCTGACAGTTTCATTTTGGACCTATCACTTTATTTCTGGGCTGTCCTGCCCACTTCACAGAGTAACAATCAAATAATCTATCATGGCAGAAAAGTGCTCTTCATGTATACAGGTTATAATAGCTAATAATTACTATTACTATTATGGGAACTCTGGTAGCATAGTGCCTAAGGCACTTGACTGCTAACCAGAAGGCTGGCGGTTCAAACCCACCAGCCACTCCTCGGAAGGAAAGTTGGGCAATCTACTTCCGTAGTGACACTACCTTGGAAACCCAAGGAGGGGTCACTATGAGTTGGGTCCAACTCAATGGCACATAACAACAACAACAATTACTATGCACTTATTGAGGTCCAGGCACTGAGATAAGCACTTACAAGTGTATTACCTCATCTGATCCTCATCACGAAGTATGTTTTAGATGAGGAAACCAAGGGTTCCAAAGATTTAGTAACTTGATCATGGTTACTCAACTAATAAAGGCAAACCCTGTCTTTAACCACAATGGCAGGGTGACTTTTAACATACAGGATTATTAGTTCTATTGCTGTTGTAGCTGCTCACCTCCCCCCCTTTTTTCAATTTTTATTGTGATTTGGATGAATTTACAGAGCAAATCCATACAGATCACATACTTTGTCTCATGACATTGACTGCAATCTCCCATAATGCAACAGTTCTCCTCCCACTTCCTCCCCATAGCCACCTCTTCCCCTTATCCTTCCCCCCCCCCCATGCACTCCTGCCCCCTAAGCTGTCTCCCTGTGCATACACAGCCCTTCTATTCTCCCATGATTGATCTCTCCAAGGAGTGTATCTACCTAATGTAAATGTTCAGCTCATATGCCTGTCTTTTGTTTGGCTGGAAGCCACAGGAGTGGGTTCAATGCTGGACCTGAAGGGCAGCTAGGGGCCATAGTCTCAGGGGTTCCACCATGCTCCATCAGACCAGCAAATTTTTTCTTTTTTTATGATTTTGTGTTTTGTTCCACGTTATTCTCCCACTCTATCCAGGATCTCCTACATATATCCCCCTCCAAGTGGTTGACAGTGGTAGCTGAGCAACATCTAATTCTTCTGGTCTCAAAGTTGTATAGGCTTAGGATCGCATGGTGTAGTAGTCCTTTGGACTAATTGTTTCACGTGTCTTTGGTTTTCTTCATTCTTCTTTGCGCTGGACAAGGAAAGACCCACTGTTGCATATAGATGGTCACTTGCAAGCTTTTAAGACCCCAGTCACTACTCGCCAAAGTAGGATATATAACAATGTTTTTGTGTAGTATGTTAAGCCAATTGATCTTAATGTCCCCTGCAACCATGGTCCCGAGCTCACAGGTCCAACTACTCACTCCCTTTGGGTAGCTGGCTTTGGCCAAGAAGTTATAGACTTGTCCCTTGTCAGCTCTACTATATACCTGGGAATCCTTATAGAACATACCAAAACACTTGTAGAAACACTGTCTGCCAACCTTATACATGATCATGGGCACACTTCCCCCTGCATAGACATATCTAATAATTCAACCTGTTCACCCAACTATCCACCCATAGATCAATGTCTGCCTTCACTGACAATGCAGTACTGTATGTGCAAAAGGGTTCATCTTTGTTGTCTATACCTCCCGTACACCTGTCTTCCTCTTCCTCAATGCCACCATGTTGATCACTCACATTTGATACATTGCCCTTCTCTTCACCCAAAGAAATACTTGTCTCTACCTAACAGTGTTCCCTGCACCACCACCAGTAACCAACAAAGAAAATTTCCTTCCATATATAAACCTTTCCTTTTTACAGTAATGGACTAATACAGTATTTGTCCTTCTGTGATTGACTTATTTCACTCAGCATAATGTCTTCCAGGTTCATCCATATTATGCCAATTCTACATTATTCTTTAGGGTTGCATAGTATTCCATTGTGTATACATATCATAGTTTGGTTATCCTTTTTTTCTGTTGATGGGCACCTAGGTTGTTTCCATCTTTTGGCTATCATAAACAGTGCTGCAATGAATACGGGTGTGCATGTATCTGTTCTTGTCCTGGCTGTCACTTCTTTTGTATATATGTCTAGTAATGGAATGGTTGGGTCCAATGGTAGTTTTAATTCCAACTTTTTAAGGAATTGCCATACTACTTTCCACAGTGGTTATATCATTTGACAGTCCCACCAGCTGAGTCCCAATCTCTCCACATCGTCACCAGCATTTATTTTGTCTTGTTGAACTTTGCTATCAGTGCTGGGGCCAGATGGTATTTCATTGTTTTGATTTGCATCTCTCGATGGCTAATGATCCTGAGCATTTCTTCATGTTTATTGTCTGCCTAAATATCTTCTGAGGTGTCTGTTCATGTCTTCTGCCCATTTTTTAATTGCATTGTCTTTGTGTTGTCGCAGTGTTGGAATTTTCTATAAATTTTAGACATTAAGTCCCTTCTCAGGTATGTTGTTGCCAAATACTTTTTCCCAACCTACAGGTTCTGTTTTCACTTTTCTGGAGAAGTCTTTGGATGCACATAAAAAATTTTTAGTAGATCCCATTCATCTAGGTTTTCTGCTGTTTGTGCATTTTGGGTTATGCTCGAGTTTGTTTATGCCATATATTAGGGCTGCCCTTACTCTTTTCAGCTCCTTATTTCCCTAGACCCAAAGCAATTAACTTTACCCAGAAGGATCCTTTGCATATCAAGTAGGAACTGGAGGATATAATTTTAGTTCTGCTGCCTCATCAAGACAGGAGACCTAAATTTAATCTCAATTACGACATTTTCTAATTTTAGTAGAGTCCCTTAATCTACTGGGTGCAATGACAGCTATTACCTGAGAAGTCAAGATATGTATCCAAGTATTCATATTGATAAAGATACGAAGAAAATGCTTTAAGAACAGCCCTGGGTAAGGAAGTAAGAGGATTTTTCCAACTAATTTTCTTGTTTCTGCGACAGCCTTTTGACTCGGCTGAAGAGACACAGAGATGGAGAAATCATTGGAATCCAGAAGCTGAAGTCGGGCAACACTTACCACACTGCCCTTCTGAATGGCTCAGATGAGGAATGAGATGAGGGCACCAGTAGGGGTGATGCCAAACTGCCCGTGTTGGTGTGCTATCCTTTATAAACAAAGTCATACCCATAAGCAGCAAGCTTCATTTCCATCCCATTGTGGAGAGAGGGCAGGAAGTGGCCTCATGGATGACCCAGGATATGACTTACTGCTTCTCGTACTTCCTACTTTTCTCTTCAGAAAGTAGGTACTTCCTTACCAGAAAGGTATCAGAATGTTTAAGTGAAGAACAGTGCCTTCATTTTACAGATATCATAACTTGTGTATTTTTAAAAAGTGAAGTTTTGTTGTTTTAAATATTACTTACTAAACATGCTGGATATCATGCATGGTAGATTAGAGGGCCAGTGAAAAAGAAGGCCCTCAACAAGATGATGGATTGACACAGTGGCTGCAACAATAGACTCAAGTACAGATAGGATTACTAGGATAGTGCATGACTGGGCAGTGTTTCATTTTGTTGTATACAAGGCTGCTATGAGTCGGAGCCGACTCAATGGCACCTAACAACAACAAAAAAACATGTTTGAACTGCTAATGGCCCAGCTGAGCTGGGCCTCAGATATCCTGCCTGATTCCTCAGGTGCAACAGAGAATGCTGACAGGAAGTGTGTAGACTGAGCAGTCAGGAAACTGTCAGGTTATGGAAGACTTTAAATCTGGTATAAATAAAAGCAAAGCATGAATCCTGAACTAATACAGGCAGCCTCAGGTTATAAACGTCTGACTTACATAAAACACTTCTGTAAAACTTATTGTATTAAAAATTTGACATACAATGGTCCGTAACAAAAAGCAGGTGCTACTTCACGAAGACATGTCAATTTTGTGCAACTTCCTACTTACAAATCCAACTTAAACACAGACTTAGGAAAAAGAACTTGTTCATAAACCAGGGACTGCCTGCAATACAGTCTTCACACTCTAGTCTTGGTTCTGGTTCTTTCTTTTTAACTTCCTTTAACAAACATTTATTAAATGTCCACTTCATACCAGCGGTGGAATGTTATTAAGGATCAAGGGGACATATACAGAGCATAGGGCTTGCAGTCTAATGGAAGTGAAAGATGCAAGCAGTTATATAAAGTGTACTTGGTGCTAAAAGAGGTTAAGTGCAAACTGCATTTGGAGACTAAGGATGGGAGGAAAAACGAGTTGGCACATTACAGGCATAGAAAATACTATGTACAAAGGCAATGAATAAAGAATTCAGAGAAATATACTAAGTTCTATGTTGTTGGTATGTGCCGTCGAGTCGGACCCGACTCGTAGTAACCCCTCCTTGGGTTTCCGAGACAGTATCACTACGGAAGTAGATTGCCCCATCTTCCTTCCGAGGAGTGGCTGGTGGGTTTGAACCACCAGCCTTCTGGTTAGCAGTCAAATGCCTTAGGCACTATGCTGACAAAATAGGTTAGCACAAACCTGAAGGGTCTTATAGACCACCTCATATCTTTTATCTATTTAGCATGTTCTGGAGTTTGAGATGCACTCATTTGAGTTTCACAACTACTTGTATTTTGAGTATATGAAGTTCTTCAGAGGCGAGTGGCCTAAGGTCACATAGCTAGGAAGTGACAAAACCAGTATTCAGATTGACTCAAAAGCCCAGCGTAATTCTCACTATTCCACCCTGCTACTTCATACAGATACAGCAGAGATAATTTAGTTGAAGCACTGCATGCTCTTTGAAAGAAATGTTGTACTTCCATGAAAGGTAATCTCCCATGGTTAGGCAGCATTCAGAGGTGGAGTTATCCTTAAATTAGTTTAGGGATTAAGAACGAGCTGCTTAAAAATACTGATTTAGCTATTAGGGATAAAGAACTCCTGGATCTGGTTTTCAGCATTTACCTTTGTTTGCCAGCTGCGTAAGAATTCCAGCATTCATTCCACAAATACTAAAGGACTTATTGATAATTACTATCTCTCATGTATAAAATGTGTTCTTTCCTTAGGAATTTGAGGTAATTAAGCAACCTATTCCATTTCACTTTCATGGAGAAAATCTCCTTTAAGGAAATGCAGTATTTTCCTCAGAGGGAGGGGCTGAGGTGTGAAGAGCAGATGAAAATTGTAAGATTTATTTTGATGCCTTACTCATGGAATGGTTTGGGATAGTTCCATGGAAGTGATCAACTCTAGCGTAAAAGTAACCTTAGACGTGGTAATGTACAAACTGATCACAATGCCATTCACCAACTCCAATCACAGATAAATGGTCTGAGTAGTTTTTACCAACCTTTGTCAAGTTAAAGGGTCAGAAGCTCAATCGCCGCCACACAGAAGTTCTTCTGGAATTGTTTTCCTCAAACACCTACCAAAGCTGCCACACCCCTAGGAAATCCCTGGAGTCTGCATCCTAAGGAACCATGTTTGGTGCAAATACTGGTAATGTTACCCTGAATAACCCCAATAAGGAGTTTCTCATTCTACAATATCCTAGTGACAGGATAGACAGTGTCAGAATTATACTTACCAGGGCTTCAACTCAACATCTTCATCCTGATCTATACCAGTATTTTACATGCCTATTTTATTTTGTATCCCAGGATGTAAATATTTGTGTACATAAGGTAGACAAACAGAGTCAGTGATGTTAATAAATAAAAGCTTGGGAGTAGGGTTCAGGCTGAATACCAGATCTTCAGGAAATCTTTTAAGTAAATTCAGAAGGGGTCTGTTTAAAACCAGCAGTAAATACCTTAGACAAAATCTCTCAAATTTCTATGTTTTTTCTTAAGAAACTATTATGTGGACTATCTATATGAAATCTGACTCTAAGAAATAACGATGTGCAAGTATCAAAATATTACAAAATACTGATGCATGCTTCTTTACTCAGTTAAAAGACTCATGTTTCACTGTAGTTTTGACTTCTCCCCATAAAATTAATTATTTTATTCCATACTCAGCCATCAAAATCTCAATCTTGTCTTAGCCAATTCACCTCTGTTCTCCATAATCTAGTCTTCCCATCTTCTAATTCTGGGTCTACCCCAAGCGTCATCATGACCCACCACAGCCATCATCTCTGTAGCAAGGCAGCAACAGAAATGGACTTAGAAGACTGGATTTACATCTTGGTCTCTTTGACTTCAACTCTGACTCTCATTTCTGTAGAACTAAAACAGGGATGATGTCATTTTATAGATTTGTGAAATTCTGTACATGTCTGTAAAGCCACCCTAACTCCTCTGCTAACTTGCCTAATCCAACTTCAACTGAGGTACCCCATCTAAGCCATTTCAATTCTGTCTTCCACATCTACTTCCTCACCCAGAGCCCATAATGATAATCACTAATTTTCTATAGATTAAGAATACTTTTTTTGATTTAAAAGAGATGGAAAAGTCCAATCACTGCAAAAAAGCTTTACTCCCATCCCTGCTCAAATACAACAAAGATGTGTATCATTAACCACCAGTGCTTTAATTATTTATTACATTTTAAAACATCATTCTGAGTGCTGTCTGTTGCTTGATGGTGGCTGCAAAATGTGGAATCGCCAGGAGTAATGACTCACAAATTCAGAGTGACCTCTTTTAAGGCTGGCACTGCCTAGAAGACCAAGCTGTGCCCCTGTGCGTGCCCACATTCTACCTGCCACCTCTGCACTGGGGCAGGAGTCAATAAGCTTTTTTTTACAGGCCAGAAAAACATTTTAGGCTGGAGAGCTACTAGGGTTCCATTCCCAACTACTCAATTCTGCAGTCAAAACTTGAAATCAGTCATAGATGACATGTAACAAATGGTTGTGACTGTGGTCTACTAAGACTTTATTCATAAAAACCAGTGGCCAGCCCACAGGGCACAGTTTGCTTGGCCCCAGCTCTGGGGTAATGCAGAATGTATAATTTTCAAACTGCAGCAGTGTCTGTACTGCAGAAATAGCATGGCTGCAACATCTCCCACTCTGCCTATTTGGCTCTGGACTTGAAATGCCAACAGCCTTGGTGAGGAAGACGAAGTCAGCAAGTAAACACACATACCACAGTTAAGATCCCAAACCCCATCTTGTAAGAGGTAGCACCAAATAAATCCCAATTTAGGGAATCCACCCCACCCCACTTTCTATAGTTCCTTCCCATTTTATAGCCTCTCATTTACTACGTAGCTATCAAGTTAGCCACCAACTTACTAAGGAGAATCTTGCTGTTCTTTCAATCTGGTCAAAAGAAAAAGTAAGCTTAGAGGGGCTAAAGCCCAAGTTTCTATCTGATAAAGATGTACAATAGGTTCTTTTAAAAAAAATAAAGTCACATAAAAAACTTTTTGGGCACAAAACTCATCTAGATCACTAGTCATGGAGAAGACCATTAACTAAAAGAACACAATCCACACGTAGAACGAGGCTTATTCACTGCATTCACAGTCTGCAACTGGTAAGCCTTCCCTAGATGGCCTACTCTCAGGAGAAAACGGGCTTGTGTGACACAGCTGAGAACTTGTGCAATTCTAATGCAGAATCTCCTCTCAGATGATGTGGAACAGTCCTTGGAACTGTGGGGTGACCCTTTCTCAGTGCACTCCAGTGCACTCCACTGTGGCATGTGGATGCACGACTGAGGCTGCTATTGCTATCATCCCACTATGGGTGGTCCTTAAATGGACACACTTCAGAGGAATGATGTAACAACCTCTCTGGCCCCTGCCCTTCAGCTAGGACGACAGACCAGCTGTGGTCTCTTTGGGAAGCATTCTTTCTCAATCACTGTTGTTCAGGTGCCTGTTTAGGAGACGGAGCTGTGGTTACAACAACAGTGGAGACTGCTTTGGAGGAACCAGCAGCTGTTCCCTGCTGGAGATGGGATGCTGGAACAGTCTGTATCCGTACCTGTTAGCAAAGAGAGAATTTCTCATCAACAGACTGCAAACTACAATGGGTGTATCAGTTAAGAGCAAAAGAAAAAGACTGGATATGGCCAACAGTTTGTCTTGGACCTTACCTGTGTGGTCTGACCTTGCTGCTGAAGCTGCTGCAACTGCTGGGC